TCCTCTGGACACATTCCAGCTTGTCAATATCTCTCTGCAATTGTGGTGCCCAGAATTGGACACAATATTCCAAAATCTCCTCTTGGAGATGGATGGGGTGGCTGGAGGCATTTTGTGCCATATGTAAGCCAACTCAAGTCCCTTCAGGGAGATGGAGGCAGGGTACAAAATAAAGTTGTTGTTCTTGTTCTTGTTGTTCTTGTTGTTGTCGTCATCATCACCATCATTATCATCTTCACCTCAGAGAGGTAGCTGGCCAATTTAAGCCTAGAATTGGTCTTTTAAAGAATAGAAAATGCACAATAAATTGATTATGTTCAAGTCTTGTTAATGGCCCACGTAAGCTAAAACATGGTGATGATGCTTCCAGTGTTATCTAAAAGAGTGTCTGAGAACCTTTGGGAAACACCCATTTTGTATTTCGTTTGCAGAGGAGGCTGATCCTTTAATGGTTTCCTGAGAAGTCAGAGCATCTCCCAGTCTTCCATGCTGGCTCACTCATTTATTATGTTCTTAATTCTATAAACCCAGACATTTCCATAGGTACGTTGTGCATCTACACTGTAGAACAAATGCAGTTTGACACCACTTCTGCTGCCAGGGTTCAATGCTATAGAATCCCGGGTACTGTCATTTTCCAAGGTCTTTAGCCTTCTCTCCCCAACTACAACTCCCCAAATTCCATAGCACTGAGTCCTGTTAAAATGGAGTCAAACTGCATTTATTCTACAGTGTAGATGTGTCTGTAGGTAGAGATATAATCCAAGATCTTATATTTCAATTGCTACGTATATCGCCATTTGGGAATATGCACATTGATTGTGCTGCTGAATGCTTGGTCAAATGGCAATGCAGTGGGCATTAATATAAATGTATCTGAGTGCACAAATGAATATGGAGCAACTGAATGCACAACCAAATATGCCTTCAGATGGTTCAGATGGAAAGTGCTAACTCCTTTCGTAAGAAAGTTTACACTTTTAAAGTCTCCAATATGATTTCACCCTATTTCCAAGTTTCTTATCTCCTTCTGGGCTGCTTCTTCCATGGATTGCCTTTGACTTGCAACATGTGCTGCTACCTAGCTTGGTTTTAATGTGTTTAGACAGTAAATAATATTTTTGTCCTGTCTCACATTTGAAAATATTTCATTTTTACATGAATTTTGTATACATTATTCCATGATCTATACACTGCCATATAATGCAGTTTGGAACATCAGTATATGGTCAGTGTAGACTCATGTATGATAAGAAACAAATTCTTATCATGTATGATAAGAAACAAATTGGTATGATAAGAAACAAAGATGGCAGGGACCTAACAGAAGCTGAAGAGATCAAGAGAAGGTGGCGAGACTATACAGAAGATCTGTATAGGAAGGATAATAATATTGAGGATAGTTTTCACGGTGTGGTGAATGAATTAGAACCAGACATCCTGAGGAGTGAGGTTGAATGGGCCTTAAGAAGCATTGCTAACAACAAGGCAGCAGGAGACGACGGGATCCCAGCTGAACTGTTTAAAATCTTAAAAGATGATGCTGTCAAGGTGATGCATGCCATTTGCCAGCAAATATGGAAAACACAAGAATGGCCATCAGACTGGAAAAAATCAACTTATATCCCCATACCAAAAAAGGGAAATGCGAAAGACTGCTCAAACTTCCGTACAGTGGCCCTTATTTCTCATGCCAGTAAGGTAATGCTCACGATCCTGCAAGGAAGACTCCAGCAATACATGGAGCAAGAGCTGCCAGATGTTCAAGCTGGGTTTAGAAAAGGGAGAGGAACGAGAGACCAAATTGCCAATATCCGCTGGATAACTGGATAATGGAGAAAGACAGGGAGTTTCAGAAAAACATCTACTTCTGCTTCATTGACTATTCTAAAGCCTTTGACTGTGTGGATCATAATAAATTGTGGCAAGTCCTTGGTGGGATGGGCATACCAAGCCACCTTGTCTCTCTCCTGAGGAATCTGTACAAGGACCAAGTAGCAACAGTAAGAACTGACCACGGAACAACAGACTGGTTCAAGATTGGGAAAGGCATACGGCAAGGCTGCATACTCTCACCCAACCTTTTTAACTTGTATGCAGAACACATCATGCGATGTGCGGGGCTTGATGAATGCAAAGCTGGGGTGAAAATTGCTGAAGAAACATTAACAACCTCAGATATGCAGATGACACCACTCTGATGGCCGAAAGCGAGGAGGAGCTGAGGAGCCTTCTAATCAAGGTGAAAGAAGAAAGCGCAAGAAGCCGGGTTGCAGCTAAACGTCAAAAAAACCAAGATTATGGCAACAAGAATGATTGACAACTGGAAAATAGAGGGAGAAACCGTGGAGGCCGTGACAGACTTTGTATTTCTAGGCGCAAAGATTACTGCAGATGCAGACTGTGGCCAGGAAATCAGGAGACGCTTCCTTCTTGGGAGGAGAGCAATGTCCAGTCTCGATAAAATAGTGAAGAGTAGAGACATCAGACTGGCAACAAAGATCCGCCTAGTCAAAGCCATGGTATTCCCTGTAGTAACCTACGGATGTGAGAGCTGGACCTTAGGGAAGGCCGAGCGAAGGAAGATCGATGCTTTTGAGCTGTGGTGTTGGAGGAAAGTTCTGAGAGTGCCTTGGACTGCGAGAAGATCCAACCAGTCCATCCTCCAGGAAATAAAGCCCGACTGCTCACTGGAGGGAAAGATACTAGAGACAAAGTTTGAAGTACTTTGGCCACATCATGAGGAGACAGCAAAGCCTAGAGAAGAGGGAAAGGGAAGGCAAAAGGAAGAGGGGCCGACCAAGGGCAAGATGGATGGATGGCATCCTTGAAGCGACTGGACTGACCTTGAGGGAGCTGGGGGTGGTAACGGCCGACAGGGAGCTCTGGCGTGGGCTGGTCCATGAGGTCACGAAGAGTCGGAGACGACTGAACGAATGAACAACAACAATTGTATTATATTATGGGGCCCCTGGTAGCTCAGTGAGTTAAACAGCTGAGCTACTGAACTTACTGACCAAAAGGTTGGTGGTTTGAATCCGGGGAGCGGATTGAGCCCCCACTGTTAGGCCCAGCTTCTGCCAACCTAGCAGTTCAAAAACATGCAAATGTGAGTAGATCAATAGGTACAGCTCCGGCGGGAAAGATAATGGCGCTCCATGCACTCATGCCGGCCACATGAGCTTAAAGATGTCTATGGACTACGCCGGCTCTTTGGCTTAGAAATGGAGATGAGCACCACCCCCCAGAGTCAGACACAACTAGACTTATTGTCAGGGGAAACCTTTACCTTTACTATATTATATTATTATTTTACTGGAGCCCCCGGTGGCACAGTGGGTTAAACCCCTGTGCCAGCAGGACTGAGGATCGACATGTTGCAGGTTCGAATCCGGGGAGAGGCGGATGACCTCCCTCTATCAGCTCCAACTCCTCATGCGGGGACATGAGAGAAGCCTCCCACATGAATGATAAAGCATCAAAACATCCGGGCGTCCCATGGCCAACGTCCTTGCAGATGGCCAATTCTCTCACACCAGAAGCGACTTGCAGTTTCTCAAGTCGCTCCTGACACGACCAAAAAAAATTATATTTTACTGACACAAAAGCACAGTATGTCACAGCAAATGAATCTATATTATTATTATTATTATTATTATTATTAGTATTAGTATTATTATTAGTATTATTAATGAGTTGTGCCATGTTATGCCGATTGAACTCAAACTCCTGCCATGCTCTGGCCCCACTTCAGTGTTGCTTAATGGAGTCCAGGATCTTTCCACAGCTTCCAAGAATATCCTCTTAGCGCTCCGGTTTATGGGAAAATAGCCCCAGTGCATTGCTAGTCCTTTATTTTCCCTTTCTCTGACTCAGTGCCAATGATCTGGCTGCATTAGTGTGCAAATCACTGACCCCGATTCTTTCTCATCCTTTCCCAGAAACCCACAACCAGCCAGTCAGTGACTATTCTGCAATCCCCAATCCACCAAGAAAACAGTACCGTTTTTCCTGGAACTCCAAGATGGTGTTTCCCGTCTCCTTCTGGGACACGAAGGGCAAGCCTCTCTCCTTCCAAGAGAGAGGGACTTTGGCTCTCTCTCTTTCTCGGGGCGTGTGCAAAGTTTAGGAAGGGAGGGCGGAAAGCTGGACTCTATCCAACAATGACACTCTGAGTTTAACGTCCAAGTCGAGAACGTTTGCGCACCAAGCAGAGTTTCACAATGTTCCTTCGAAGATAAAAACCCAAGGGCCTTGGAAATACAAAAGGGAGTTTTTCATGCACATAGTCATACCAGTCTTGGGAGACATTACTTTTTGTACAGATTCCCTCTGCCAAGTGTTGGGGATTATGGGAGCTATAGTTCCCAAAAAGGGATTTTGCCAAATCCCCCTTCACTTCACTTCTCTATCTAGAAACAGAATACGATAAGAATTCCATAACCATATCCAGGTCCGTAAAAAAGATAAAGGTAAAGGTTTTCCCCTGACATTAAGTCCATATCCCAGTGTTTCTCAACCTGGGGGTCGGGACCCCTGGAGGGATCACGAGGGGGTGTCAGAGGGGTCACCAAATACCACCAGAGAACACAGTATTTTCTGTTGGTCATGGAGGTTCTGTGTGGGAAGTTTGGCCCAATTCAATCGTTGGTAGGGTTCAGAATGCTCTGATTGTAGGTGAACTATAAATCCCAGCAACTACAACTCCCAAATGTCAAGGTTTATTTTCCCCAAACTCCACCAGTGTTTACATTTGGGCATATTGAGAATTCGTGCCAAGTTTGGTCCAGATCCATCATTGTTTGAGTCCACAGTGCTCTCTGGATGTAGGTGAACTACAACTCCAAAACTCAAGGTCAATGCCCACCAAACCCTTCCAGTATTTTCTGTTAGTCATGGGAGTTCTGTGTGCCAAGTTTGATTCAATTCCATCGTTGGTGGAGTTCAGAATGCTGCTAAACTTGCAACCTCCTGACCCTGCCTACACCAGAACTCCCTATCAGCCGTCACCACCCCCAACTCCTTCAAGGTCAAGACAGTCACTTCAAAGATAAAAATCATCCGTCTTGCCCTTGGTTGATCCCTCTTCCCTTCGCTTTCCATTTTCCCCAGCATAATTGTGTTCTCCTTCTCATGATGTGGCCAAAGTAATTTATTTTATTTATTTATTTGATACACTTGTATACCGCTAATATCTCAGCCTAGAACGGCGACTCATTGCGGTTTACAGCAGTTAAAACAATCTACAATTTAAAAACATATACACATATAATAACAAATTCAATAACAAATTACTTCATCTTTGCCTCTAATTCCCTCCAGTGAGGGAAGGATGGACTGGTTGGATTTCCTTGAGTATGGACTGGTTGGATCTTCTCACGGTCCAAGGCACTCTCAGAATTTTCCTCCAGCACCACAGTTCAAAAGCATCAGCCTTGCTTATGGTCCAGCTCTCACATCCACAGGTTGCTACGGAGAATACCATTGCTTTAAGTATGCGAACCTTCGTTGCCAGTGTGATGTCTCTACTCTTCAATTTTTTATCAAGATTGGTCATTGTTCTCCTCCCAAGAAGTAAACATCTTCTGATTTCCTGGCTGCAGTCTGTGTCTGCAGTAATCTTTGCACCTAGAAATTCAAAGTCTGTCACTGCCTCCACGTTTTCTCTCTCTATTTGCCATTTACCAATCAGTCTGGTTGCCATCATCTTGGATTTTTTAATGTTTAACTGCAACCCACTTTTGCACTTTCTTCTTTCACCTTGGTTAGAAGGCTCCTCAGCTCCTCCTCACTTCCAGCCATCAAAGTGGTATCATCTGCATATCTAAGGTTGTTAATGTTTCTTCCAGCAATTTTAACTCCAGCCTTGGATTCTTCACGTTGCATGATGTGTTCTGCATACAAGTTGAATAGGCCAGGTGAGAGTCAATAGCCCTGATGTACTCCTTTCCCAATATTGAACCAGTAGTTCTGGAAGAACTCATATATTTGGCATGGGGATTTGGTTCACCAGTTAAAATTCGTGAGTAAACCAGTGTGTTGTTTTTTTTTTTACCTTAAATTTTTCAGAAGTGGTTTGAGCCCCCAAACCGCCTCCTTGGCTGTGGGCTTGTCCATATCTAACACCTTATGGATACCTGAAACTGTGGAAAACTGTGGATCATTTTGAACCATATATCTGGAAGTGTACTATCATGCGCATCTACACTGCAGCAATAACGCAGTTTGACACCACTTGGTGTCAGTGCTACAGATTCATAGGAGTTGGAGTCTTATAGGATGGGGGTGACAGTGCATGTAAAATGTAAAATGTGGGGTTAGCGGCAATCATATGTTGAACATGAGCCAGCCATATGAGGCTGCAGCACACAAGGCAAATAATTCTATCTTGGTCTGCCTTCATGGAAGCATTGTTTCCAAGAGGAGGGAAGTCGCAGAGTGCATCTACACTGTAGAATAAATGCAGTGTGACCCCCCCACACACAAACACAGCAAAGTGACCGGGTCATGTGTTGCGTAAGGTCCTGTTCCTGTCTCGCTGCCCATGTGATGCCCGCTCTTACACAATCTGTCCCAAAGCAATTAAGTCTGAACTTGCACAGGGTTACCATCTAATTAAGGCTTTCTTTTCTTTGGAGGAAAAGAGCAAAGTTCCAAAGATCTGCAGAGCTGTGCCCAGATTCTTGGGGTCACCACTGGGAAGCCTTTGGTTAGCGATCTCCTAAGATTTTACAAAAGGAGCTTTGGAAAGAAAGGGAAATTTAAGTTTAGAATTATTTTATTTATTGTATCAGAAGTGAATCAAGGCTACAGTTGTAATGTATTTAAAACCACACAAAGTTTTAAAACTTGGCATTATATTAAAAGTCCTTTGACCAGTAGCTGGCCACTTGGAATGCCTCTGGTGTCGCTGTGAGACGGTCCTCCATTGTGCATGTGGCAGGGCTCAGGTTGTATTGTAGCAGGTGGTCTGTTTGCTCTTCTCCGACCTTGCATGTTGTGGACTCCACTTTGTGGCCCCATTTCTTAAGGTTGGCTCTGCATCTCATGGTGCCAGAGCGCAGTCTGTTCAGCACCTTCCAAGTTACCTGGTCTTCTGTATGAGTCTCTCTTTTGGTATCAGCTTAGGAAGGGAGCCCCCGGTGGTGCAGTGGGTTAAACCCCTGTGCCGGCAAGACTGAAGACCGACAGGTCGCAGGTTCGAATCCGGGGAGAGGTGGATGAGCTTCCTATATCAGCTCCAGCTCCTCATGCGGGGACATGAGAGAAGCCTCCCACAAGGATGATAAAAACATCAATTCATCCAGGTGTCCCCTGGGCAATGTCCTTGCAGACGGCCAATTCTCTCACACCAGAAGCGGCTTTCTCAAGTCACTCCTGACACGACCAAAAAAAAAAAAAGCTTAGAAAGGATGATACAATAGACCTAAAGATTGGAATGTTATGATGATGATGATTACACTATGTAAGAAAACTTGAAAAAAATATGTTCCAGGTTTGAAAGTATTATTTCCCTTTTAATTGTGCGGTCCTTACTATGAAAATAGTTGTACTACTCCAGAAACTTTGTTTTTGTGGCTGGGAGTCATACTATTATTCCCTTCATTCGAGGCACTTTGTAATTTTCCTTAATGAAAATATGCCATTTTAAACCTTTCCATGTGCAGACCGCAACAAAGTTTTTGCAGTTCTGTAAAAATTTTCCATGTTCTTATGACAGAACCAATTAGGAAATGACATTTATAACCCAGTAAGAAAAAATATTATTATTATTATTAATAATAATAATAATAATAATACGTTATTTGTACCCCGCTACCATCTCCCCAAGGGACTCGGTGTAGCTTACATGAGGCCGAGCCCACAACACAGCAATAACAAAAGCAAAAAACAACATTAATACAAGCAGTAAATAAAACACATAACAGAAAATAAGCAATAAACATTAACAATAGCACGACGACATTTAAAAACTTTTCGCTGGGCCAAATGTAATAATTAAAATTTTAAAATATGCTGGACATGGCAGGTAAAATATGATTAGGGTAGGGTTTTCGGAAAGTGATGGGCGTACAAACAATCCTAGGTCATTAATAAAGTGCATTTAAGGACAGATTGCAGGGAGTTTCTTATTCTGGGAAGGCACATTGGAATAACCACATTTTCAGACTCTTCCTAAAGACTGCCAAAGTTGGGGCATGCCTAATGTCCTTAGGGAGTGAATTCCAGAGATGAGGTGCCACCACCGAGAAGGCCCTCTCCCTCGTCCCCGCCAGTCGCACCTGCAACAGAGGTGGGAGTGTGAGCAGGGCCTCTCCAGATGATCGGAGAGATCGTGTGGGTTCATACACAGAAATGCGGTCACGCAGGTAGGCGGGTCCCAAACCGTTTAAGGCTTTGTAGGTAAGAACCTGCACCTTGAATTGGGTCCGGAAAATGAACGGCAGCCAGTGGAGCCCCTTAAACAGGAGGGTTGACTGCTCTCTGTAAGGAGTGCTATATAACACTATGTGTTACATAGTGTTATAATTATATTTATGCATACTCCGCTTTTTCTCTCTACAACGGAGACTCATCTACACAGTAGAATTCCTGCAGTTTGACACCACTTTAATTGCTACAGAATCCTGGAAGTTGTCGTTTGACGGAGTCTTTTGCCTTCTCTGCAAAAGAGTGCTGGTGCTTCGCCAAACTGCAAATCCCAGGATGGCCTGTTGTTAGTTAACTCTTTAGAACTCTTTGCCACTCCAGACTCCTCACAGAACTACAAATCCCAAGCATTTGTAGGACACAGACATGGCCAGTAAGAAGACTCAAGTTGCTGGAATGGTTTCACATGAAGATAGGGATGGGAGAGGAAGGGGAAAAAAAATGTATAAATGGCAAATATGGGTCTTTTCTCGTTCTTGGGGAATGCAGAGTGGCTGAGGGGTGCTGGGGTTCTCATCTGCCTTCCTTCTGGTCTATGGCACAGTTGCCATGGTAGCTGCCCATGTCACAATCCTTTGAACCTAGCCTTCAGCTCCATCTTTCCATCGTTCCAGAGTTGCATTTGTGGCCATGAGGTTTTGAAGTCCGGCGGTTGCCCACGTTGCCTAGGTCTTTCTTCTGGATGCCCACCTTT